TTTTCAGATACGTTTATAAAGTTTGGTATTACTTTGTTTCATTTATGAGCGTTATTTTGCTTTCATTTGATTTACCTACTTTTATCAATTAACGTGAACCTTAATCTGCACTGCACTGATATATGTTTTAAAGAATGATTAACACAAGGAAGATTTGACTTTAATTTACTATTACTAATTTGCTTAGAATTCACTTTTGTACCTGAAGATACAAATAATTCAAGGGAACTCAAATAACGTTTTAACAGTTAACTGTCTACACGAAAAGCATTACGTTTATCTAGTTAAACCTGCAATGCAACAAAACCTTGTTACATGCGGCGGAAACTTCCTCCCCGTAATGTAAGTGACATGTAAAACCTTACATATGTCACAAGGAATGCATTTAACATTCGTCTAGTTAAACCTGCAATGTAACAAAACTTTGTTACATGGGGCGGAAACTTCCGCTCGGTAATATAAGTAACATATGTAAAACCTTACATTTGGGTTCAAGAGAAACTTCTCTTGTATGGAGGACCCGAACCTCTGTCGAGCTAGACGGACAGACACAGATAACAATGCTTTTAACTGACGTGCGGATACGATTCCACAGTACAACAATACTCTAAACACAAATAACGCTGCCAGTTATAATTCGGTGGGACAACTGTCCAGTTATTTGTTAGGCTTGTCGAATACACTCCGCCACCAAGGTGAAACGAACTACCACGTAGTGTTTTGTAAAGTGTGGGCAGACGTCAATTGCATCCAGGGCACGCGTACGTAGGCGATGGTCATAAAACATTAAACGATGCCCACTGGCTGTCCACCACCGAACCTCCTGTCGAGATACAAGATCCCATGGTCAACACCTCAGAGGGTTGAATGAACCAGCATGTTGTGTTATCAACATCTGGCCGTACCGACCTAACAGCTGATCGATCGAGTCCCTCATACAAGGAGTGAAATTTGATAAAGTTACATTGCAGCTTCAGCTGAACCCTATTTATTATTTACATCATCTTATTCTGAAACCTGACCTAACAGTCCTGCGGACGAATGACCGAAAGTTCTAACTACTGATACCTGATCGGATCTAAGTTAATATTGAATGTCCTATTACTAATTACGAAGGTATTGAGAATTGCATTATAAAAGGTATATCTGTAAATCGTTTGGTACCACCGGTCAAGTACTATTAAAACCGCGAAACCCCTAGCATATAGAATCGTACTTTGATTAACGTTGCCATTTCACTGGTAACAAGAGGAATTGGTTTAGTTTAATGAAATTTAGTGAGCTCGAGTACGGAGAGAATGGCAACACGATAAAAATTATTTAATTCCATCCTTACCTATTCGTGTACACACGGTGAGTTCCGCGGGATTTACTCCCTCGGGTTCTTGAGTAACCCCTATATTATTTGTCTACATGTCGGCGGTGCTTACGCCCTAGTATAAGGCAGTGTACAGGTCCTCGGTCACGGAGCCGAGGTCACAGAGTTTTCTGCACCAAAATTGGTGGAACGCTAATTAAGCGGGGCTCTCTGTCCTTAACGCCGGTTATGAAAACCGGAGTAGTGGTTTCTCTTTGACTTCCGGGCTTCGAGGAGCCAGCGTAACACTTTGGTTGCCAAAGGTCTGACCACGACGGTGACAGCAGCTATGGAAGCCGGGAGAGCGATCTATCTTTTACTTCCAGGCTCCGGAGGGCGAGCGTAACACTATGGTTGCCAAAAGCCTGACCACGACTCTACGCCGTCTCTCGCATTTATATGATTTCCCGTGAGGGAGTTCGTTGTTCAAGTCTGTAAGGTTAATGGAGATAGCACAACGCTAGTTCCCTAATTGTGGTCCTCGAACATACGGTACTTAAAGTGTAAAGTGATATAATGACAATATATTAGCGTTCGACCCTACTCTTGGTAAAATCTCTTCCAATCCTACGTGTTTACATCGGATTGTTTATGTTACATGTTCTCGGCTAACGAACGCCTTGTGATTGTATACAGTTTTGTCAACTTAAAATATTTAAATGAATACCGTGTGTTTTTTACAAGATAAATTTTAGCCTCTATAGTTGTATAGCTATTGAATACGGAATATGTTTTTCTGCAAAAATTATAAGAAAATGATTTAACCTTTCTTTTGTGATAATTAATTTGGTATTGAATGAGATAAATGTTTGGAAATAATTTAGTTTAGTTACGTCATGGATATCCGACTGAAAATTGTTACAGTTTACCACATGTAGGAGTTGATACAACTTAGAATGGATCAATATCTTCTAATTTTTGTGAAAGGATGCTCCTATCTACGCTATTGAAAGCTTTTGATAAATCGAAAAATAGAGACAACATATTTCATACAGCTCTTTATAGATATGTTTTAAAAAATATACAGTTACCATTTCCGTTGATTTACTTGACATAAATCCATGTTGACACTCGGAAAATATTTTATATTTTCATGCAAATGACATAATACGGTCATAAAGAATTTTTTCTAGAATTTTTGATAATGAGCTCAATAAAGATATCTGTCGGTAATTATAAATCACTTTTACAGCCTTTTTTGAAAATTGGAATTGCCGAAGCTATTTTAAGTATATCTGGAAATATCGCATTAATAAATGACAAGTTTATGAGATACAGTAAGACTAAATTATGTTTTCAGAAATACTTTTTATTATTTGAGCAGTCAAGCCGTCCAAACCAGTTATTTTGAACATTAAGGGTTATATGTTCCAAGTTTATTATTTACTATAATCCAAGTTTGTTTTTATTTATTTTCGGCATTTATAATTCTGTTATTAAAATAGTTGTTTACCATTTTTTATGTTTTTCTTTTATGTTTTTTACTCACTTTGTAGAACAATCTTATATTTGGACAATTAAACCTTTTCATTTCAAGATAAGTTTTACGAATTGCCTTACCTCCTTCGCTTAACATTTCTGTTACCCACCCTGTATCAATTTTAGAAATTGGACGCTTTATAACAAGTTTTAGTGGACACGCAATATTAAATCACCACGTAGTATTTTCCAAGAAGAAAATAAATGCATCATTTACATTTAGATTAAATATAGTGTTCCAGTTTATACTTGCTAGACGATCATTGAATTCCTGAATGTTATGATATTGTTTGTCGCGTTTGTATACCATTTTATTATCAGCTATAGCAATATCTTGCTGATACTTAACACTTAACGAAAATAAGTGGGTAAATTGGTCTGATAACATTGAGTCAAAAAACCATTACCTTATATGTCTCTGAAGGAATATTTGTGGCTATATAATCAAGACAGGTAGAGCTTGTTTGATTTCTAATATTTGTAAAAACTCGTGTTGGTTCTCTAGAAGTAATATTCAAATTAAAAGAATCAAAGATGTCACAAAGTATCTTAGTACTCAGTGATATGTCAAGCAAATTTACATTAAGATCACCACATACCACGATGTAGTCAAATTTATTACTGACTGATGTTAAGACAGATGTTAAATTTTTGAAGAACATGTTTATATCCCACTAGGGTTCTCTACACGCTAAAAACAACAGTTTAAAATTTTTTTGATAAACAGAAGAAGAAACCACACATCTCTATTTCATTCCACAGAAAATTCATTAAATATACTAACTTGAGTAGCATCAATATGATTTTTAACAAACATCAGTGACCCACCATGAATATGTTTACTTCGAGAAAAAATTACTAACAATTTTATAATTACACTGGTCTGCAACGAAATCCTCCTTTAAAAAATTATGCTATAAGTATGAAGATTTTAATGCTCTGAATCTATTCCCGTTGGCCGATTTTTTCTATCACGTCTAGATTTTTTTATATGAATTTTTTTTAAATTTCATAAATTTTGTTTTTTTTTTTTTTTTTTGTCAACATCAAGAACAGTATACATACAAACAAAATAAGTTTTAGCGAGTTGTAAGAGAAAGAAAGAAAGTATTGACAGTGATTTTTATGGTAGTAGATATGCGCATGCGCAGTATTCGCTGTGACTTTACTTTCTTTTTCTTACAACTCGCTAAAACTTATTTTGTATGTATGTATACTGTTCTTGATGTTGACAAAAAAAAAATTTAAAAAAAACAAAATTTATGAAATTTAAAAAAAAAATTCATATAAAAAAATCTAGACGTGATAGAAAAAATCGGCCAACGGGAATAGATTCAGAGCATTAAAATCTTCATACTTATAGCATAATTTTTTAAAGGAGGATTTCGTTGCAGACCAGTGTTATCTAGACAGATATAGTCGAACATTCACTAGTTATCCAGTGTTCAGACAGACACAAAATGTCTATATTTTTATCAATTAGCATGCGTTCTATTTCATTTGTCTTATTCATAAAACTGTACATTTAAATGGCATATATTGTACTCTTTTGTTTCTACATCAGAGTTAATTGGGATAACCTGGTATATAAAAAATTATTGTCGTTGTTCACTAAAGACGAGTTATATACAGGAATGTTATTAACTAAATATATATTATTTACTGAACGATTTAATAAATTTGTATTAATATTTGAGGTCATCAATTCAGACATTAATTCATTTGATTAATAAATCGGCATTTGAGGTTGAGCGGCATGACCAATATGTAAGCAAAATTAAATATTTACTTTCCTTATTCAGGCAATTTAAATATCGTAAGAATTAGCACGATCTATTACAATCTAAGAGCTTTCAGACATTATATAACGTATCACTATTCCAAAGATATTCTATTTTTATACAAGAACATTGTCACTACAAAATCACCCACTTGCCATCCCACAGTGATAGCGTTGGGATAAGTAAGCTCAAATTTGTAAAAAAAAAAAACAGAAAATCACTCGACGTAATATAATAACACCACGTGTAATTACAACCCCCTTTATCCCTGAAGGTCTGGAATGACTTTGTGCGGGAAAAGGGTTACACATTAAGAGACAACGGACACACATCCAATATTCCGAGTATACTGGGATTAATTTCTCTTTCCGAAAAAATCCCAGTTCCTCGACCGGGAATTGAACCCGGAACCCCGAAGTTTCCAGGCAAATACGTTACCGCTACACCACGGAGCCATATAATGAAACATGAAATATATCCTTTCCGATGTAATATTATTAGTTATGTATTAAACAAAAGTGGTAGACAATCCATGTGGTAGCATATCTACAGAAGACGATAAAAGAAATTGAAAAAAAAACACAAACACACGTGACATTATCAGAAAAGAAACGTATGTTATTTGCGTAACAAGACCGGAAAGTGATTCTTTACTGGGCGAGCTGGCAATTTTCTGGGCGAGCGCCAGCGAACACTGAAAGCCAGTAAAGATACTTTCCGGGTGTGTTGCTTACAATATTTTTTTGCAACTGTTCTTGCTACTCTTGTAACGTTGTCTGTTCGGACGGCCAAAATATGTAGCGAAGTATGTTTGGGCATCGTAACAGTGTTTGCTTTCGGATAGCTGGTTTGGAGAATTAATCCAGGATTCCTGTTAGTTGTAAATAAGAAAGCCCAAAGTATTCGTAACAGAGTTTATTTTATTAAAGTAACATTTATCCAGAACATGAAGTTAAATAAACATAAAATCAGATTCTTCAACAATAAAACCAAGTCAAGTACATTTAACAAATATTATTTACATCGGTGAAATTAATTTACGGGGGAGTGTAATTCGGTGAATGCACGGTGACGGTGGGCTTCAGCTCCATGTACTGAAGTAAAACATCTAGGATACGATGCGGCAGTAAGTTCGATAATTATTTAGCGGCGGCGAGCCCAGCTCAACACGCTGAAGACTCACGGCAATAAATAATTAGGGGGACTGGTGACAGCGGTTGGTTTAGCAACTATTTACCAACAGTGGGCCCAGCTCAACACGCTGAAGACTCACGGCGATAAATAATTACTAGACTGGTGACGGCGGTTGGTTTAGCAGCCATTTACCAACCATGGGCCCAGCTCAACACGCTGAAGACTCACGGCGATAAATAATTACTAGACTGGTGACGGCGGTGCAGAGCGGTAGAATGGCTACCAACACCATGAGGTCAAGCTCAGCACGCTTAAAACCCCAAGATGCTACCAGACATTCAGCCGGGCGGCGTCGTCGTTGGATTCTGATTTCTAACCAAATGGAGTCAAGCTCAACACGCTTAAGACTCCTCAACTACCCAGCTCAACACGCTGAAGGTAGTTGTCAGCAGAAAACTGAATGCCTTTGCTCGGCTACATTAGCGTCTACAGATAGGTTGCAATTGGCGTTGATGCTCCAAAAGACATGCGCGAGATTGCGACCATGAATTTTGTCTAGACGAGTCCATTATGAACACAAAGGGGAAGCCTAACTTAGTTCATAGATAAGTATTAATAAATCCTTTTGGAATCATTTGTTAGCAAGGAACTCGTTAGACGATAGAGAAGATACTCGCCTAGCACGCGGTAGGTCCAGGGTTCGAATCGCAAACTTATATATATTTTTTTTTAAATAAGTATTTTTTAGTTCGTTAGTAAGATTTTCCTTGCCCTTTATAGGCGAGTACTATCGTCTAACGAGTTCCTTGCTAACAAACGATTCCAAAAGGATTTATTAATACTTATCTATGAACTAAGTTAGGCTTCCCCTTTGTGTTCATAATGGACTCGTCTAGACAAAATTCATGGTCGCAATCTCGCGCATGTCTTCTGGAGCATCAACGCCAATTGCAACCTATCTGTAGACGCTTGTCTCGGCTACGGCCATTCTATTTATATCAAAATCCTGGCCTTGGTGACGTCAATATTTCATGGCGGCAGGAAGTACGTGGCAGCACCTGCCAAACGGTAATTGCAGAAACTTCTAGGAATGAACATCTGCGTGATTCATCATAAGTCGGCAGGAAGTGCGCGACAGCACAAGACTAACGGGAATTTCCGAAACTATAGTAATGAACATGTGTATGATTCATTACACTCTCTACTCGCTACCTTTAGGGACAGAATGGACTGTATTATCTGTCTTGTTTAATTTAATAATTCAATTTAATTTAATTTTAACAAAATTATTCTGGATTTTTTGGAGCCTATTTTTCATCAATTGATCAAGACACAAATCGTAATAATTATGTATTTCTAATATTTTTTCGCAACTGTCTAGGAAGTCAACTGTTCTGGTCAATTCTTTGAGTGAAAAATATTTACATATTTACCGGTCTATTCCGGTAAAGTGACATAAGGGATCGATAAAGTCTTTATTGAACCCTTATATCACTTTTGCTTAACAGTAAGGTAAGGACCTAATTAATTAAGCACTTTAGGCACAAGTAATCTGATAGGCGTCTGGCATCTGTCAGTTGAATTTTATGAATTTTGTTTGCAAAAAATGTCATCAAGCATGAACGGTTGCAGAAAAAATATTGTACGCAACATACCCGGAAAGTGTCTTTACTAGGCTCACCTGCTTCCAAGGTTCCACTGTCACTCGCCCTGGACATCTATTTCAAATTCAATGATTTTTCTTATTGCATATAATTTTTCTTATCGCCGTGCCAGCCGCGATGGCGGAAATTAGTACAGAATATTAATATCAGTTTATGGATGTTTCAAGTTTAATTCTATGTTTTTTTTTGTAGCAGATGTTTCCTAGAGCAAATATAGACCATCTCTCGTCTTTCTTTGTTTATTTTGTAATAGTCGAAAAGGGCGTCCCTTTCTCCCTCTCTAGAGAGAGAGGCACGACAGCATACCGCGCGCCCGCGGTCCTGTTTAACACGCACACAGGGTTAGTGATCTACCGATTTTCAATGAATTCTACCGATCTACGGATCCACATACAAATCCTACCGAAAAGCAAACGGAAACTAGAAATCTAACGACTGATCATCAATTAAAATCTGCTTTACAGTTTACAGTGGCCTGTATCCGCCACTATGCATACATATATAATTTTGAGGAAACCAATTTTTACACCTTTCAATCAAGATGGCGGCTCGCACTTCCTACCCCTCCCCATGGTCGAAAACTTGGATTTTTCATCAGGGTTCCGGCCTAAACAACCTATATCAAAATTGCTTCTACCCCACCTTTTATAGCGCAAAAATCTTCACTGACTGGATTAAAATAATCAGACGTTAAATAAATGATTGAAAACATGATAGTGAATATCTTAGCCATAGTTGAACTCATAAATACTTGTTGATAGTTAATTCAAAATTTAAAATATTCTGGATGTGCTACAAATTTAATGTCAAAAATCAATGGCTACCACATTATACAAAGTATTAATATTATTCTAAGAAAATTTTAAAATGAATAAAACAATTAAAAATTATTCACAAACTCTTACTCAGCTAACATCGAAAAATACATAGCTGATGTATAAAAAACGAATTTATTTAATAAATTCTTTTTTATTTCTGATAAGACAAACAGAAAAATTCTCATAAAATTCCTTTATTGGTGTGTCCGGTTTCGTGAACAAGCAAATTTACTTCACATCAGACACGGGACTACAATAATTACAGAAAATGAGTATGGTGGTTACATACATAAATATAAATGTTAATAAGTTAATGAAACTTAAAAACAAGAATGTAGAAGACAATTATTTCCATTTTTTGTGTACTTGTAAAAACTTATAGGTAAAAAAATTTTTGATAAAATTTGTTTACATGAAAAATTTAAATTATTTGAAATAATAAAGTTTACGTTAGTTTGAATTATAATATAGAATTATGTAAAATTAAATTAATTGAATTGTGTAAAAAATAGAGGGTTATTTTTATATATAATACTTACATTTTTATAAATAAAACCAGGGTAGTCAAATTTAAAATAGTTTTGCAACATAGTCAAGATATATTGTATCTAATAAATTAACTTTCTAATAAAATTATAAAATTAACGTGCTTTTTTAAAAACACATACATACACTACAACAGTTTAAAATCGAATAGGGAATATTTTAATGATGAAAAATTGATTAAGATGGTGCCCTCTATCGAACTATCTACGGACTAACGTTAAATAAAAAGTAAAATTGAAAACTATATGTGAACGAGGTTTTTTATAATAGTGGAGTTTATTATATTCAACTGCAGATGGTGATAACAGCGAAAATACACTAAACATGGTAGTAATATTTACTTATAAGAAAATAAAGTTATATTATTATAATATCGAGCAGATATCAATAGAGAAACAAAACAAAAATTAGACAACCACAGAGAAAGTCAGTGAAGATTAAAACTGGATTTGTGAATTCAGAGATAATGTATTGGGATTTCTTGAATCTTTCAGGATTTCTAAACTTTCAAGGTTATTAATCAAACTGCCTTTACCAACAAGATGTAATATTTTAAGAGTATTGTCAAATGTGTGGTTGTTATCTACTAGATGTTTGGCGAAATGGGAAAAACCTGAGGATGAGCTTATGCACCGAACGTGTTCTTTTAACCGTATTTTAAAATTTCTATATGTGCAACCAATATATGTGCCGTTGCATGTATTGCAAGAAAGTTTGTAAACCCCACATCTATCTAATGGATCTATTTGGTCTTTACCATTGACAAACAACTTTTCTATACAGTTGATTTAATGGAGATATGGAAAATATTTTTAAAGTAATTCGAAATTTTATATGAAACAGGACCTATGAACGTAAGAGAACGGTATGGAATTTTATGAGAATTTTTCTATTTGTCTTATCATGAATAATTACTCATATGGGATTAACCTACCTTTTTTATTCATTTATTTAAACGTCGGCCTATTTCCGCTACCAGGGTAATACACTGGCGCTAGGAGACGAGCTACCCCCAACCTGGAAATTTTGCCGACCTATTCTCCATCGAAGAGTAGGAATTTTTTACTAGCCTAACATCTAATAGACAAGGGACGGACTATCCGAAAGATGGCATGTCACCTACATAACCCTTGTTTTAAATTGTATATCGCCTGCGGATATGTTGAGATACAAGAGTTTCACTTATGTTACCATCAAATTACTGACTGTGGCTGTTGTTTAACTTTTCGTATCGAAATATGAGTATATTAAGTCGAGTCTACGCTCGCCTTCATTTAATAACGCAAAGAT